GTGTGTGTGTGGTACGCGGGCCTCTCACTGTTGTGGCCTCTCCCGTTGCGGAGCACAGGCTCCGGATGCGCAGGCTTAGCGGCCATGGCTCACGGGCCCAGCCGCTCCACAGCATGTGGGATCCTCCCGGACCGGGGGGCACGAACCCGTGTCCCCTGCATCGGCAGGCGGACTGTCAACCACTGCGCCACCAGGGAAGCCCTTGTTTTTTTTGGTTTTTAAAATTTTATTTGGAATGTTCAGAAATTGTATTAAAAAAAGATAAAAAATTATATGAAACAAATTTCCTGATGTACCCCACAGCTTCAACAACAAATCAGTATGATAGATGTTTATTTGAAGAATAATGTGGGCTTTAAAAGATATTTTTACCCAACGTTGCTTCTTAGTAATTCATGTAATATAACTTTTTGTCCTCCAGAAATAAATTTTAAACTTTTACTTAAATCCCCAAATGAATGCCTGGAACCCAGTAAGCACATGATTATATGCATATTGGTAATCTGCTGAGATAAACAGCAAGTCAGAGAACTACAATATTCAATTCTGTGAAAATACATAAATGTAAAATAAATTTCCGATTCAGACACTCAGGTGAAAAATCCCCTATGAAAGACATAAAAAAGTCATGTCAGGAAGAGTTCTGAATGTGGGAAATATTTCTACTTAGATGTCCCATAGGCTTCTGAAACTCACGCTGCCTAAATGACACTCCTCTTCCTCCATTTTTACCACCCAAACCCAATCCTCTTCCTGAGTTTGGTACCACCACCTGCTCAAGGAAGAAACCTGGGTGTCCTCCTTGACAGTTCTTCCCTGCACCCCCATCCCAGATGTTTTACTGTCCATCTTAACAGATTTTTTTCCCCCTCAAGTCTAGCAGTACAGCATATTAAAGCCTCCTTCACTCCATTACTACTCCCACTACATTATCTGGGTCTTCCTCACCATCCCGTCTAGTTCTCACTTCCTCTAAAGAAGCCTTTTCTAACCAGTAACATCTGAGTTAATCACACCAGACTGTACAGTTGCTTCTTCACTGGCCTTTATCCCCAGCTAGCAGGTAAGTTCTGTGAGAAAGGGGACCATTTGTTTTATATGCATCCTTATTGTCATAGTGCCTGGCACACAGCGAATACTCAAGGAAAATTAAATGAATAAAGGAAAATTAAAATTATATTAAAAAACAAACCTAAAACTTATTACCAGTTATTATTTGAGGTCTACTGCCGTGAAGTTTTGCCCATCCTAGCAAGGTAACTAGGATGTGCAATTAGGCCAGGCTCTCAGAAGTTAATTAAAGGCATCTTCCAGTAAAGTTACTCCTATGTTTATAGTTTAACGTGCCATTAGTCCCAAGAACTAATGAATGGCACTGATACAGAAGTGGCATTCCT